CACTTATTGGTTTCTTCTTCTTAAAGACTGTGCAATGCAAGGAGGAATAGATGTGGAAGAGCTGGTATGACTTTTGAAACAGTGCAAAACAGAGAAATGGTTTCAAAGTATTGGTCTGAGAACTAGTTCTAGACCACAATAGTTTTTAACAGTCCACTGCAAAATGAAAGAGGAAGTAGAATATAGTGGCTTTCTTGTAAAGCATATTTTATTAATTTACAGGACTATACTTCTGAGATGATGTTTTTCCTATTTGGGGGTGATAAGAGAAAGGAGAGTTTTATGATAGAAATAGTAGTTAGAAGTTATATTTTTTTTCTTAGAAAAATAACAAAATTGGCAGCACTATTTTGGGCCCTCTGAAATGTTTTTTGAAATTTTACTTGACCACAAAATTAGGAATTATTGTCTGGTATATTGAATTGGAGAAAGAAGAAAAAAAACTCCATTATCTGACCCTGTCATTAATCAGCTGTGTGACTTTGAGAAATCACTTAACCTCTCTGCATATGTTCTTGTACTTGCAGAATGGAAACTGTCACCAGATTGTATCCCATAAGGTTGTTATGAAGTAAAATAAGGTCATATATATTCAAGTGCCTAGAAACCAAAGAGGGCTCTGTAGAAGTCATCATTTTTGTATGTTACCATCAGCAAAAGTGTTTAACTTTCAAAATTATTGGCAAAGATTTCAACAAAAATCTGTAAACTTTTCTGTGTATTAACTTTATGACCCTAATTGGCAAATATTATAAAAGAAAATTATATAAAGAATAAAATAGAATAGAATGCATATTATTTTGACTGCTAGTATCTTCCCAAGAAAAAAGGAAATTCATCTTCTAGAATTCTTGAGTAGTAATTTTTGGCATTTGACATTTTAAAGTTCTTTTGTCAAATGGGCAGTTATTGTCTTTCAAGAACAACTACTCATCACAGGGACACATGTCCAGAATGTGCTTGGTCTGAGAAAAAGTACATGATTATTTCTAAATGTCATTTATACCCTGTTATGCATAGAATTACATACCAATCAAGATTCTTTCATGGATCCTTTCCTATTTGAGAAAATTGATGAAGTTACAAGTTAATTGGCCAAACACTATGCTGGTTGCACAAGCCATTGGCTTGATCCAGTTTGGTATCTCTTTAAAGTTCTTGTCCTAGAATCTGTGAATAAAAAGCAGCTCTTTCTTTTTTCAGTTACTATTTATAGTCAGATATGACTTTTAGCTATGGACATATCCATTTTGTTTGAGGTTAGTGACTTAATACTCAAAACTCTGGGTCATCTACCCTTTACTCTGAAATTATGATCCTTTTTTTTTTTTCTCTGAAGTAAATATCCCAGAGTTACAATGGAAAAACTAGTGGAAGCTGTAATGATTTAACAAAGAAATAGGCTGAAAGGGAAATTATACAAGGGCAGAAATGCAAGGCTCATCCTCTCTTTTTAATATGTAAGCAGGTAGTTTGAAACCCTCATGATTGTCCCACCCTGTATTCTATAGGGGCCCAGTGCACCTGGCAGTGCATCTCTGGAACCGTGAGAGAGTTTGTCTACAGTCCGTAGCCTCACATCTTTGAATAGTGATCTGTACCATTACTGAACTTGCTCCCACCATTCCTGGGCAGCAAGCCTTGTGAGTCGGTACCCCTCCTCTCAGTAGTCACTGAGGCCACCTAGCTCTGACCTCCCATTTAGCTGTTGATCTCTCTACTACAGGTGCTAAATTTCTACCAGCCTTCCCGCCCTGAAGAAGAGGTTTTCCATCCTTCACTCAGGGCCCTACGTGGGCTAGTGACTGAACAGATGTAGAAATGATAGTGTTTATTGAACACTTAAAATGGGCCAAACACTGTTCTCAGTACTCCATATTCATTATCTCTTTAATCCTCACCACAGCCCTATGCAATAATTATTCTTTTCTCATCTTAAAGATGAGAAAACAAGGTACAGAGAAATTAAGTAATTTGTCTATACTCATAAACCTAGGAAATAGTGTACTGAGACCATCTGATTCCATACTCTTAGCCAATAGACTACATTAGAATATAAATGGATTTCACATATCTAGATTTTCCAGAGTGATCTATTGTAGTCCAAATATGTATGTTCTCACATCTGTTAATTTCCTTTTCACATAGTTTATTCAAAAACTGACTATTGAATACTATGGCCATGTGTGGAGGATAGAGTAGTGCATAAGACAGCTAAGGTGCCTGTTTCCAGGCAGCTTATATATTGGGGGAAGGGGGTGGGCAGGATGAGACAGACATTTTTTAAATTAATAAATTAATGGACAAGACCATTTCAGATAGTGATAAATGAAGCAGGGTACTAAAGAGGAACTGAACCAGACCGTGCAACATAGCGAGACTCCATTTCAAAACCAAACAAAAAAACAGTAACTGATGAAAGCTACCTTAGGTTGGCTATTCAGGAAAGATCTCCCAGAGAAGGGCCCTGCAAGCTGAGTCTTCAGTGGTATCAAGATAC